ATTTTTATCAATGCTTTCCAAGAAAAATATCCACGATCGGATTAGTATTGCTTACTGTTGAAGAGATTAAAAAGTATTATATAATCTGAAAAAATGACCAACTGTATTATTTCCGAAGTAGGCTCATATTTTCAGAATTCACATCCATACATTACAGGCGAATACATTCATCAGCTAGTGAGGGGATAATTCTTGTTTCATAACATAAAAAATATCGTAACTTGGTTCAGATACACTGACTATTTAATCGAAGACTGGGAAAGAAATTTCTCGTAAACCTTTAAGTTCCTTTGAAGGAATCGGATAATTCCTTGTGTTTCTCAAATTTCTTAAAACTGTAATTTCATAACAATTGTGATTACTGACTTTCCAGATAAACACAGAAGTAATTAAAAAATTTTGCGTGGAAGTTTAATACCCAGTACATTATTCATCACTTATTTATAAGGTGGATTGATTTTTTAAATTTTTAGAAATTACTGAGTCAAAATCTTATATAAGTGATGCTTTTAGCAGCAGATTAAATCATACTGCTAAATCTGAGAAAATATATTTCGTTAGTTCGTAAATTTTTCAGCAATGGTTCATTAATCACTAATTCCATGAGGAAATAAATAAATACAGCCTCTGCCACTGTTTTAGTAAATTATTCTAAAATTTCTAACGGCATTGCTGATATCGGTAGCATTCTTCTTCATCTATCTGATATCAAAACTATTTAGATAAGTCTGAAAGCAGATGAGGAAAGACATCGCTTCTAATCTCGCTCAAAATCTCTTCATGCAAGCATTTTCTTTGAAAAAAACGTACTTTCGTGTACCACTTTTCATCAACAGATACTAGACACTAGGGGATATATATCTCCTGACAACGCCCTATGTATCTATAAATAGCTTTCCTAATATTTCCTCATCCTATTACTTACAACCTCTTAGCACTTCGATGCATTTTCTACAAGCGAACATAATGCATTTTCTCATTATTACTCAGGCTTGTTGTTAATTTTTGATAAGAGTGCCTTACGATTTGATGTATCGTCCTGTATTTAACATTACCTCTTTTCTAACCTAAAAGTGAAAAATAAAATCGGGAAGGAAAGACAATTAATGGCTGGTTGGGGAACGTAATCCATAACTTCTCATCATCCAGCTAACGAAAATGTGACAAAATTAATTTGTTAAAAGTTGCTTGAGAATGAAATACATTTCATTCGTTAGTTTTTGATTAAAACTTAAACAAATTTTAGCATAATTACTCTATTTATACTGCACTTTGAATTATGCTTTTTAAAATGTTAGTGATTTAAAATATTCCCATAATATGTTTCATGTAGAAAAGATGCTTCAGTATTTCTTAGGAACTGCTTTTTGATGTCGTAACTATTTATCAAAGACAAAGCGCAATTACTAGTTACAGGTTTCCGTGCTGAATTTTCGTCGTCGGCAGAAAGTGATTTAATATAATCCCTTGGTACGTGAAATTATATTTTAACGTGAGATTATATTCTATTTCATTCACCGACCATCTACCTAATACATTGTATATCTCATACTGACAATCACTACGTTCCGAATATAATAATTCACTTATTGAAATAAGGTATGGCATTTAGCGATCTGACTAGTTAAATGTCATATATGATTCAGTTTGTCGAAATAAATCGATAATCATCTATAATAGTGCTTAGTATAGGTTTCGTTTTATTTCGACAAAATGAAACTAGCAAACGGCAATAACTATGCAGTGCTTGGATTTATTTCTAAAAGAGCTCAGTTGCAAATAAGTATTCTTTTTCTATTCTTTACCTTGATTTTTTTCCAGTAATAAGCAAAACACTTCATTTGACACTAATCTAAATGATGAACCAGCAATGAAACATTAAGATATACAGAACATTTCAAGTGAAAAATTTACCAGAAAAATTTCAACTAAGTTTTATTTATTTGATTATAGCAACTAAATCGGTGTCCACCGAAAACATTGCGGCAAAGCATCGCGGACGAAAACGTCTCGGAGAAAACAACGCAAGGCGAAAACGTCGTGGCACAAAACATCGTACTAACATCGTACATCATACTAGTACAACTTTCGTTATACTTTTATTTTAAAGTATTACTCAGCACATAATTTAAATATCAAATGAGAAAATAATTGTTAACGAGAATAAAAATTTTCCCTTCTAATAACCCGGGTTATTAGAACCGACTAAAGAATTTAGATTTACGTTAGAGGAACAATGAACCTACTCTCTTTTTCTTCTTTTTGCCTGTTAAAGTTTTTGTAGTAACTAGTTAAATTACATTCGATATCACTGGTCAATAAAAGGACAAAGTTTTTGTAGTAACTAGTAAAATTACATTCGATATCACTGGTCAATAAAAGGACAAAACAGACATCTTCTTTTCATTAAACTATAGCCCAATAATTAAACTACCTTCTCCTGCCAAAACAGAAAGAAATGTTTCAACAAGTATATCTTATAAGACAATTTCTGACACTGAATTTGGCTATTAATCCTAAGAAAAATCTCGTTGCGAGTTCCAGATGTAAACTGGAATGCTTTGTGTTCTCTTTATGTTCGTTTATTTTTTTATTGACTTTACTTAATGCAAAAAATTGCAGAAATAGTGTTTTTGCGATATTTTCAAAGAAATCATTCTTTTTTGCTTTTAAAACAAGGAGTCTTAAGTGTTTAAAACTTAAATTTAGTCAAAAAGGCAAACTCGAGTCGGTATATATTTTGAATAAAATTTTATCGATGCCCAGAGTTTTAAAAATCCATATACTTGGAATATGCATTTCAATGATAAATTATCGATTTCGATTTAAAATAAAATGGTCTAATAAAACAAACGGAAGATATTGCTGCAAAAGAAATAACATGCAACTTCATCATAAATTCAGGAGAAAGATAAATATTTTTTTTTTCTTCCTTAATCCAATTATCACATTTCAGAATAATGTGTTTGAAAGACTCAGTCATTATTTTCAGATTATTCCTTTCCTTCAAAAAAGAAAAAAAAAAAAAAAAAAAGAAATAAAAAAGTTGAAAAAATTAATATTAAAAATCTCTGTTAGAAATTCCAGCAGCAGATCTCTTTGTAAGAGCATGCGAAAAACAAACGTCTCCTATATTTTTACTAAACAGATCAGCATTTTTTGAACCTCTGAAAACGCAAGTGTATGAGCTATTTTTATATTTTGGGTCCGAAGCGTTATAAGGTATTTCTCCCGCCCTCTCAGCGTGCCTTCGTGGTGCAGTGGTTCTGCACGCTGGGCCGGTATTCCAGAGGTCCGTGGTTCGATTGCCGGCAAAGGCAATTGCTCATTTTTCATCTTGCCTGCTTCCAAAAAATACCTAATGTCTGTACAGCTTTATTCAACCTATAAAATGTAAAAAGTTTTTTGTAACTATTGCAAAAAGAAAAAGTTTCACTGCGTACGAAAACTCATATCTCTAAGACTTCACTGCGTACGGAACCTCATATCCCTAAGACTAATACTGTATTATTTATATAAAACTGAATATTCATTATTATATTGAAAGCGTAACTAGAAAACTCTAAGAGTAAAGGGCATTTTCTAATGTAGTCTGTCATATGCTCAGAAACAAAATCCGAAAATATAGTATAAATGAAAATTTACAAATATTTTTATAAAGAAGTAGGAATTATCACGAAATAGAAAAGACTAAGAGCTGTAAATATCCTGTTTGAAGTAATTAGAATATTTTGCTAAAATCTGAAACTATTTCTTTCATGAAAATTTCTTCCTTTTTACCCAGAAACTCAAATATTTGAAGATTTTATTTTATATAAATGATTTACTTTAGCATTAAAGCAAATGCTGAACGTACATTTTCATTTGCAAAAGCATTCTCAGCAACAAAAAACAAAATGAAAAACTGTAATTAATGCATAAAATACTTTAATAAATAATTAATATTACACTGTAGTTAATCGTACGTAATCAACTTTCACTTTCCTTAAGGCATTTTTTTGTCACCACTTCCGTAAAAGAAATGTTACAGTGCATAAAATTTTCTATCCCAAAAATATTAAGAATATTTAATAGCACTGGTTCGGGTAGATGAACCCTTAACCATCATAATGCGGTCTCACAACCCGAAGAGTTTTCCTATATGTTCCAAATTTCAAATTAACGATGAATTTATTATTAAAATACAACTTAAATTTTTATGCTACCAGCATTTCTAGATAGGATTAAATAACAAATCACCGTGCTTCAACTAAAGTGCGACTTTATCCTGTCGAGTGCAATGGTTTAATTAATTAAACCATTTATCGCAATGGTTTTAATTAATTAAACCATTGCACTCCGAATGGGGACATTGTTACTATCTTCATGGGATAGGAAAATATTATCAAAAATTAAAATACAAATCACCGTGCTGAAACTAAAGTGCGACTTTATCCTGTCGAGTGCAATGGTTTAATTAATTAAACTATTGCACTCGAATGGGAACATTGTTACTAACTTCATGCAAGAGGAAAATATTATCAAATTCACTGCTTGAGAAAGAGAAAGCATGCTCTATTTTAGTCCGAATTTAAGATTAGCAATTATTCTTATAATCTGAAAATATATAAGGGGGCGCAAACTTATACATAAATAGGCGTAAAATCTGAAAAATATGTATTTAAATAGAGTGCAAACTTAATTACAAAGAGAATTAGTATAATCAGACAGAAGCATAATTCGCTTATTGATCTCCGAAGATTTTATTTCTTTTTTTGGCTACCTGTACGTATTTCTGACGTACTCATGAAATAAACAGAATAATAAAGGTTATGTAAGGTAATCTGAAATAAATACTTTGTTTTTAACATCATAATTTATAGTATATTTCTTCTTCGAATCAAAAAATATATACTCATTACTATCAGCTATTTCTATTAAATGAATTTTGATAAAAGCGAATTCATATACTAGTTAATTCAAAATTATCAACAGGTTCATGAACATACAATTTTACTTACCTTTAACTGCATTCAGTTTGCTGCCCATCATCTGCTTGGCGACGAAGGCCGCCATGTTGTCCCTTGATCATCTGTAAATTTTGGGAAAAAATATTGATCAATTTTGTTTTTAAACATCAATTAAAAAAAGTAGTTAATTTATCATACAGAATAGCAGCTGTAAAGAAAACTTAACATATTTACAAATTTCTTGTCTGGCCGAATTAAAAAAATGTCGACAATTGTAGCATAAGTTATAAGCATAAACACGTTTCATTTCTCGTTTCTACACGCGGCGAGAGACGTTAAGAATTGCATGAAATTAAGTCACGGAGAGATGAGCAGACTTAAAAATAATCACAGTTTAACGTTGATTTGGCGAATTCTTCGAAATTGGAAATGGATACTTACCGATATCAATGGATGACACTACAATGGGGATCAAGAACAAGCTTGCAGCCTTGAGAGCTTATTCTCACTAATCTAATTTATTGCACAGCCATTTACATTTGTGAGGGGTTGTACTCAAATTGACGTTTTATCATTATTTCCCAAACATTCATGCTTCAAAAACCCGTTATCACAAAAAAAACACTGTCAACCCACTTTATAATATAAAACGTGTTTCCCTTTTCCCCCACGCACATACACTTTAGTGCTTCCTGTGTTGCTTAAGAATCTTCTATGAAACTAAATTTAAAATAATATTTCTTGAAACATACTTGATGAGTTCAAATCCTGGTTTTGCTTTTATTTATTTAAATTAAACATGAGAGGACTTTCTACTAGATGAAATATTATTTGGCAGATTTCGGGAAGAGTCGTTTCATGGTCAAAGAAATTGTTCTTGTTTATGCCACTTACCAGAAACGGAAAAACTCAAGTAGCAAGCTCATTTCGATGCAGAACAGTATTTGGGTCAACATAGCTCATTCATTTTAACCTTCATTTCTATCCAGGCCGAAAAACATATATTTTTGACAACATATGTTTTTCCCAAATGCAACAAGTTGCTTGGCTTCTATTAGCTGAAGAACAAATTTCACTGGCAATATTTGTACTTTCCCCAGTATGTAACAAATTCTCCGGAATCGATTTAAAACATTGCTTGTAAACATTTGTAATTTTGGTTCGATTTTGGCTTTGCTCAGAAAAAATTAATTTTATTTTCCTTAAAGTGCATCTCAATTTCTTTTTTCCTGTTCGAATACTATAGCAGTTTAAATGTGTTATCGGAGAAACTTCCCAACGAAATAAGTTGATGGTCAAAGAAAATAAATTAAAATTAATAGTATATATACAAAAATCATATAAAATTTTCAATTTTAGGACATATGAACAATTAAACCATTTTTAGCAACATATTCTTGCAAGGAAAAAAAAATAGCACTCAAAATGCATATTTAATAGCAGTTTAAATTTTTAAAATATTAAGAAATAACAATTTATAATGAGGTACGTTAATTGTCAACATAACGCTTCGAAGACTTTTTTTGCTGAAATAAATATAATTAATCCAATTTTTAAACAACTGAGTTTTTAATTCCTTCAGCACTTTGCAAAAAAAGTCTTGTGCAGGAGCTGCTGCCAATTCCTGAGGCATAAGATGCTTCAATTAATTTCAAAATTACAGCACGGTATTGCTTATGAGGACAACAAAATTATTCATTTTAAAGCACTATGATATCGTTGTAATTTGTTTTTTTTTTCGGGGGGGGGAATAGCAAGTTTTCGTAAAATTTATAACATTAGCGTAATTAATACTATTTTTATACCATATATAACGTATCGCGGCCTCAGAATTTCTTTCTAATACTTTTACTTGTAATGTGATCTACATTAAAAGTTAAAGTTAAATGGTAATGGTAAATTTTCATTGCAACACCCATACTGGCTTTCATCAACTTTTCAACAGTTTTAAAAGTTTTAATGAAGCTTAAATTCAATAACTTTTAACAGGCCAACAGAGGATATTATTTTTATTTTTGCTCATCAACGGCAGAATGGTAAAATCGCTAAACACTGGTAGTTCGACGTGGGTTCGATTCCACGCTAACAGCCTGGCTACATGGGAGTTTTCTTGGTTTCCTCATGTGTAACGTGTTCCTAAGAGACAGTTCCTTCACGAAAGTATCTCCCCTCTTAAATAGATAGCTCTCGAGAGCTTTGGCATGATAAAAATAAACCAAACCAAACCATTTTTATTTTTTTTTAAAAAGCGAAATATGTTTACTGTAGGTAAGCAAAGTTCAGTTCTGAGAATAGCATTTCTGTTTAGTTTAAATATTTTAAATATGAGTGAATAAATGTGTCTTTTGATGAAAAAACTTTTATTTACGTTTTATATTGCAAAGGGTAGGCTATGAACTGCGCGAAATTTAATTCAAGACCCCATCCTTATCTAAGTGCCAACTCCTCTACAACGAACGATAGCTCCTCCTTATATACGAACGGTGAACAAAGAAGACCCACGAACTGCGCCACTTTGCTCTTCCTCCCTACTCTTTCTAAGAACCTGAAGTCTCAAGAAGATAGATGCTACAAAATGTCATTTATCTTTATAAATGGGACATTTGATTGAGATATCAGATAGTGTAAAAATTTTGCAAAGATCAGATATTTTAAAGATCTTTTATCAGATATTGTAAACATTGTACACAGAAAACAAATATTAAATTAAAATCTGGTATATGCTAAAGCAAAAATGAATTTCTTTTACACTCATATTGTACTTTTACAATTCTTAAAAGAATAATGAGTCAGATCTTATTTATTCCCCACAGGAATTCAAAAATTTTCATAGTTGTAGATTTTAGCTGCATATATATATATATATAGTATAATGTTGTATGATCTTAAATTTATTTATTGCGAAAACAAGTTACTACTACTTGCGCAATTGCTGCAAAGTAAGTTAATAATAATTTCTTTACTAAATAATATTGATAAATTGATTATATTATCTCCTAAGTTTAATTAAAGTAGAATTATCTTAAAAGAGTGAATCCATACTAGTAAGTTATATTTTTGAAATATGTTTTAAAGTAACTTGAAAGTAAAATGTCAATAATGTTTTAATGGAGACTGGAATTAAATCATCATGAAGAACAAAATTTCAATTGTAAAAGGAATAAATTAAAGTCAAGAATTAAATTAAATTAAATGCATGTAATCACTGTCATTGATCGGAAATTAGTTGACTTTTCAAGGGGAACAAACCAACTCCCGTTCAATGAACAGTAATTAATAAATAAATACGAAGGTGTTTCGTCTTTACTCGAGCATTAAAGGCTAAGCCAAACCGGCAATTCAAGTCAGGCCAAATATTTCCGTGAATAGAAGGGATTATGAACCAATGCTGATATTCAAAGAACTTATTCCTATGAAGCATTTTAGCCAATTCAATTTTGAGTGAAAAGCAATTTCTGCAGTGAATTTCGAAAAAACTCGAGTAACCGTCCCCCGACACCCTCGTGTATATGCATTTGAGTTCAATATTATTTGTAAAAATTAAACATTGGAAATTGTCATTATGAAATAGAATTCAAAGTATAAAGTTGAAATAAACATTAGAAGATTACAAAATATAAGATAAATAATGCAAACTTTGTAAAAACAAATCAAAAATAATGCATAAACACGAGGGTGTCGGGGGACGGTTACTCGAGTTTTTTTCGAAATTCACTGCAGAAATTGCTTTTCACTTAAAATTGAATTGGCTAAAATGCTTCATAGGAATAAGTTCTTTGAATATCAGCATTGGTTCATAATCCCTTCTATTCACGGAAATATTTGGCCTGACTTGAATTGCCGGTTTGGCTTAGCCTTAATGCTCGAGTAAAGACGAAACACCTTCGTATTTATTTATTAATTACTGTTCATTGAACGGGAGTTGGTTTGTTCCCCTTGAAAAGTCAACTAATTTCCGATCAATGACAGTGATTACATGCATTTAATTTAATTTAATTCTTGCCTTTAATTTATTCCTTTTACAATTGAAATTTTGTTCTTCATGATGATTTAATTCCAGTCTCCATTAAAACATTATTGACATTTTACTTTCAAGTTACTTTAAAACATCTTTCAAAATATAACTTACTAGTATGGATTCACTCTTTTAAGATAATTCTACTTTAATTAAACTTAGGACTTAATATAATCAATTTATCAATATTATTTAGTAATAAATAATATATATATATATATATATATATATATATATATTACTAATTTTGACATACTTAAAACTGGTAGATTAATGACATACATAAAACTGATATATAAATATAAAGTCAACCTTTCAAAAATCGGATTTGTAGAGCATGTTAATCAGATTTCTTGTTTAGATAAATATTAAAAAATCTTCTTAGTAGAATGGTTTTATTTTTCAAATTTGCCATTTTAGGTAACTAGTTCTAATTTATTTCAAAAATTCCGTTTATTAAATCTAAAAATTAGACTTTTTAAGCTGTTCTAAATTCACACCAATATTATTAAGCTTTCCACTTTTAATCATTCAAGTTATTTTTCTCCTATTATATAAGCCATTTAACTGCCTTACAAATCCCATATTTTAATATTAGGAACTTTTAAATATTTATTCTGCTTTCCAATTATTCTAACCGTACTTTAGTCTTGTTTTACTTTGGCGTACATTTGATTTATAATATACATTTAATTAATAATAGATGATAATTATGAGCATCTGAAGCATTTTCATAATTAATAAAAAAAATTTCGAACTCCCTTAGATCCATATCTTGAGATTTTAATTTTTCCTTCATCCATTTCTTCTTCAGATATTGTTGTATTGTATATTGTTGTAAGTTTTCACGTATGTAGAATTTGCATATTGCTGTATTGTAATTATATATAAATGATAATTTTCATAAACGCTTTCATCATAACTCTAGTTAACAGATGGTGTTTTTAACACCTTGGTGCAGGTTAATCTTCAATATGCAGCTTATCTTCCAATCTAGTTTCAGATTTAGTTATTTGTAAAATTAATTATTTAAAATTATTTGTCAAGAAAGATGGCTGCTAAATCACGCTAATAATATTTCTAACTGTTATTATTTATAATGCAACG